TTCTCGACGCCACGATTCTGTTTTCTAAGAATATTTTTATCGACCTATTTCCTTCAAACAATTAAGAAACTTCTTAAGAAATTTCCTTTCTTCAAGAAATTACTCTGTTTTCAGTATACAATATTTTGGGCGAATGTGGACTTGCTAATAGTGTTATTTGTCGTTTAACGAATTTAATGTTATTAACGATAAATTAATTGTTCTGATGTCAAGTAAAAACGTGAATTTTAAGCAGTGGTTCTGTTATGATTGCTTTTGCACAAAGGAAAAGAAAATGTCGGGCTCGTTTGCATAGGATTTTAATGGAAGATTTCCTTTTTAGAAGAAACGAGAAGGTGATACGGTTTCCGCGGCCGTTAACGTCGCATTGTTACGCAACCCGTGACTCTCTATTCCTCGTAGAAATGGCGCCTGGAATGTCGTTGCACGGCTCGCCACGGAAATTAGAGACGAAGCCATTTGTGGATGTCATCGTACGCTGGTGACGAGCAACGGACTCGATAGAAATAGTGAGACAGTTAAACGAGGACTGAGTGCATTGTAGTTTGAATTTCTGAGTATTAATATTAACGACAACGCCGTAATTTAACCATTAAAATTATTTTGTGTCAATTATTCATGTTTGATTATGTGCTTCCACAAATTTGTATAATATTTCATAGGATGTTTTTAACCAGTTATATCGTATTACGTATATCACATCCTGGCTTCTCAAATTTCTGTTCAGAAGGGCATATTTCGATTATTGAAGATAAATTAATTTCATTTTAGATAACATCGTTAATTTGTTTTGAAACTTTAGGCTCTCAAAATGCTGGGGACTATAAAAGTATTTTATGTTTAAATCCTAGGAATTTTAAGAGATTCATCTGTGACCGCTTTCCATTTCTTATTATTGGTCAACTTTAATTCTTTCGACAGGCATTGGTTATTTTCCAGTCTGTAAATAATATAATTTTATAAATATTCTAAATGTTCGCTGAGTAATCTGTCATAGATCATCGAACGGTTTCTTTATAGATCTACTGAAGCATCTATTTGTAGTGGTCCGTCATAGCTGATTCGAAGTCCTAATTGTCATCAGTGACATTCCGAATATCTTCATGATTCGTTTGGATGTACTCAAAGATTAAATAGCCTTTCAGAATTCTATTATTTGTACCTATATGTGCAGTATTTTTTAGCTCTCGTAACGTTTTCAAAGACCTCATACTCTAAATACTCCTTTATAGATCACTCAAGTATATGCGATAGCCCATCGTATAATTACTCGTTATTTAGAAATTTAAATAATTTTTTAACACTTTGATTACCACGTCACCTGAATTCGGATGAAAGCATTTTTTACATAAACCAAAACTCTTAATTTTTATAAATTATTATCAATTAATTTTCTCCGCTACGTCCCAAAAGAATTAAATTTTGTTGTATGAGATATAAGAGCAATAAAGCATTCGCTATAAAGAATCTTCACTTCTCAGATCCTGCTATATTAAGAAAACTATTTTAAACGCAGGGAAATTTTGACGAGAGTTTGTTTATTTTCTAAAAAATAATGGAATTTATAACAATATTCGAGTGCCTCCGAAATGTTTGTAAGGTGAGAGTCAGTACTCCTCTCGTGTGCTAATCTAATCCCTTATCCTATGATTTTTTTCACAACTGTGCTTGTTAAAACTGCTTTGTCATTAATAATTTAGTAGAAAAGGAAAAACTTTGATGCTAATTCTCTACGTTTACTTTACAGATTATAGACTGTTAATAGGCAAGTAATATTTCATTTACATGAAAAACAAACAAATAACTCTTCAATGTGTTGAATTTGATTGAAAATTTTTATTACGTGTTTGACTCCATATTACAGGAGTTAAGCAGTGTTAACCATTCAAAGATATAGCTTCACATTCCAAAAGACTATATGTGTATGATAAGACTTGCTAGACATAGGAAATGAACCACTTTTGAATGTCAATAATCTACACAATTTTCGCGATGAAATAAATACTCGCCGGAGATAGAACTTTGTTGAAAATTTATCGACGTCCGGCCGGATTTACGGATCGCAATTTACGTTTGCCAACCGTCTACGATCGACCAGCAAGAAACATTGTTATGGTTTCGCAGCGGCTGATTCGGCTCGGCCTGTGGAATTGTTTTGCATAAATTTTAGCTTATGACTCACGATATTCTGTTCCACGTTCGCATACACGTTATCTAGTTCGCTGCTACTTCTTGAACACATGGATCGAGTGATGCTGTTACTAATACGTTCGGGAAATGGCGGGACCATCTGGAAATCTCCTTATCTAGCTATATTCTGGATATAAAATAGAATGACTGGAGAAACTTTGGCATGAATATTCAATGGAATTAAATGTGTTCCGCAAATATGATCATACGTATGTTCCATTTGAATCATTGAAGAGCTGCGAACGGTATAAGCCGTACAACTAAAATTTTGTTATTTAATATTCACGTTTTGATACAAACGGAACTATTTCTCAAGATACTCCTTAATAAATTTCGAAATTATCTGTACCTTTTTAAAGCGCGTAGAATTTACCGAGACGAATAGGATCACTGTAGCAAAATCATCGTATGAATAAATGAAATAATGAAATAAATTTTAATCATAACTTCTGTCTCATCGTTTCATTTATTCACACCACCATTTTACTACAGCAAGTTTTCATGTCCTCAAATATCAGTCGTCCACATAACTCCATTTACAAACTTTAGAAATATTAATCGAAATGATCAGTGTTATACAGTCCCACTGCTCGTTAATCTTTCTTCAGCGAACTTTAATGAAGATCACTAATTTCGCTGTTTACCTTCACATTCAGGCTCCCATTTTAATTCCGCGATTTAATTGCGACAAGGACGTTCCCGTCCCAACGAGCCCGACTTTCGTCGCAAACGGCTAGGTTGCAGGATTTAAAGGATCATTCACGAAGAGATTGAACTTAAAGAGGACTGTCGGATAATTCACGAGGGTTACGGTTTACGCGTCGCCGGTGTAGCCCTTGTAACTATACAGTCGCGAGTCTCCGCGAACTTAGTACAATTTCCCGTCAATATTATTGCCGTGAGGAAACGCAGCGATGCTTTTTACGTTCGAATTTCCGCCTGAGAAGGATCTAGCGGAAGAGCGGGATCGTTCCGCCGGAGGAATAGTGGCTCCTCGACGAATAGTAAAAAGTTACGGGCGCTGTGCTCGCCTTGAACGCTCGGTCGGTGTAACTTTTATCAGCGCCGTGTATCAGGGATGGAAATCAGCCGTAACGATGCGGAACAATTTTCCAACGACATCGACGACGAATGAGAGAAGAACATTTTGAAGGATTGACCGAACCTCAGCGTTTGTTACTCTTTTCCTTTATATCGAAATATACCGGAAGTTCGATTTTCATTGAAATTATATATATTATATTATATAAGTTTGCGGTGTCGTAATTAGACTGTTTACATTATCTTAGGCTTATTTAGATGTAATAAATAAATTCGTGAAACGTTGAATGATTTTTAATTGAATAACGCAAACGTTAACTATTTATCGTACAATTATTTCTTGGATCCTTTATGATGAAATGCGTATCGTTTATATAACTTTCAAGTTAAATATAGTTGCTCAAAAAGTAATTAGATATTTCCTATGAGGTGTAAGAACTTTCTTCGTTTTACACACTTCTCATTTTCATTTGAAAATGATATTAACCCTTTGCTTTATAATATCGTGTAGGATTCGTGGTGAAGATTTCAAGAAAAATGTAATAAGCGCAAATATTAATCAGTTCTCGTGATTTCAAATTAAATATAAATATTTTATCTGTTATCGACCGTCATGCTTTAAAGTAGATATAGACACAGAATGATCATACCTTTCCTTTTCTAGTCAATTATTAATTATAATACAGTCGTAATGTGTGTAGTTACAAGGAAAATGGTAGGCCAATGGGTTAATAATCAGATGAAAAAGAACAATCAAAGAAAAACGTTAAGTAAAATATACAATTATGGATTACATCGATCGCTGAAAAATACATTTACTTATAATTTCTATAATTTCACGCACGACACTCGGAATTCAAATTGGAAGATACTACAGAAATACGTGGTCCAGCTTTGAAATAGAAAAGAATCGTTACACGAGGCTTACCATGCTTACATCAGATAGGGAACTCGTGCCTTATCGGCACTGTGACGTTTCCGTGTCGAGATGCTCGCTCTAGATGTTTCCGTGGCGTTAAATACGTTTCGCTGTCGCGGGTCAGGAAACCACGGCAGCGGTGGGGAGAAAAAGTTCGGTCTCGCGCAAGGGTTATCTCCGAGTTGATGAGAGAGGGTATTTTCCCTAGCGGAAGAAGAGATGCAGTACAGAAGAGAAGTCGTGCAGTGAAAGTGCTGCCACGTTGCAATTTTTTGTCGGAGATTTTTGGCACAGTTTTCGGCGGTATGTTGGTCAACCCGCCGCGGGAACTGGAAAATCTTCCGCGCGAGACGCGAAGACATTAATTTTTGTCTCCCTTGACGTGCTATGTAATTTCTGCGGAATCTTTATGGTTCTTGGGAAGTGTCTTTATAAACTGTTGACCCGATTTTAGGGCAGATCATAGAGAGCAAGTTGAAGAAAAACGTGGCGGCAGCTTCCTTTGAATCGGGTTCACGCGGTACTCGGATAGCGGTCTCAATTAGGTTAAGCTTAAATACAGTTAAGCTAATTCGCGACTTTACACCACTTTATGTAATTTTATTCTTACGAATTTGAATTCTCCTGGTATAATAATGGCGCTTTACGATTCCTGTATCTGCCATGTGGAAGTTTACTAAAATTAATTCAAATAATTGGAAGGTAAGTTTTATTTTTTCGGCATTATTATTTGAACAAGGAGGCAAACTGTATTGAACTAATAGAGTAGTACTACCAATTCCAAGATTGATATAATTAAGGAGAATTTGAAATTTAATAAATAGTAATTGGAGGAGATTTATGAACTTACCTTTCTTCGATGTCCTGAAAGAGTCATCTTTAGGCACGTATTGAATATCGTACACTAAGGTCGTGTTCGCCAACAGTGTTTTGTCTTTGTTAATTTTATAGATGGCGTATTTGAATGCCAGTTCAGATGGACTGTCCTTTTGATCTTCTGTGAAGATCGCTCCTGCAACATCATGGAAAAAATATCCGTTAATGATGGTGTCGTACACACTCAATAGAAGTTTATGTTCTCAGATGCGAAGGTATGAGGTATTGTTTTAAACAAAAATTGAGTCTATGATAGTATAAATCCTCCTTAAATACTATCTTTTAAGTAAATTCATAACGATGTCTAAGTTAGAATAGTTATTATTTTTCTATCAGAATATGTGGGTTCTTAATGTGGATCACGTGCCATATTAGATACATATTATTTATGATATTACATATTACTATGTTATATTTTCATTTTATTGTAGCAATTACAGAAATGATAATAATGGAGAAAAATAAATCCAATGCATTGTGTTCACGAAGAATGTAGTTGTCTCGATGTGTTATTTATATATCCAATGTGTAAAAGAAAAGAAATTAACATTTGAAAAAATACATGTTTCTCGTTTTGGAGAGCTTTACAAATCAGGTGTTCTATATTAGGTGCTGTTACCCTATGTCTCGACGTAAGTTGCGGTTGGATCAAATTGCGAACGTTTCACCAATATCCTTTGATTAAATCGTATAACAACTAGAACTGACAAGTTGCGCGGAATGTAATTGCAGGTGGTAAGTATCGTCCCTCAACATAGAAACGTACGGAACTGTGTTTATTCTTACAAGTTCATTGCTTCCCTAAAACGTGATGAAGCAATATTATCGAAGAAGTACGAAATGGAAAGCATTTCACCTGTGAATTAATACAATTTGTGATTATCTTGTACTGAAATGCATACTAAGTACATACTTATGCTATTATAGGATTTGTGAAAATAATCGAAGGAGCTAACGGTTGTTCTTCTAAAAGTCTACAGGAAAAACACTGAAATGTTGGAACAATGAAATTGAAATTGAAAATTTGTGATTTCACACGACAATTGCTCTTTTAAGAAAATTAATTTCGAAATCTACACAAAAGATTGTGTAGTGAAGATAAAGTAATCAAATTTGAATAGTGTACTATGATCAACTATGATCGATGCGACTACTTTGTCATTAACAATTTATTGAAAGATAGAACAATTCTAGGCACATTCTATGCCCATGTCCACTCTAAAGCGTAATAACTGATAACAATAGAACATAATACTTCATTTGAATCGACAGAATTGGGTAATATTTATGCTTCCTAAATTTTGTTTTAAATGATCACCACGAGTGTGACACGTTATTACAAAGCAAAGGGTTACAGTGTTAACACCTTGGTTAGAGAAAAATTCTATATATATTCTATGTCTACGTTTTCCCTGAAATATAATATTTGATAACAGAAGAATAATATTTAATTAGAATTCAAAAGAATTGAATAATATTTATGTTGGTTAAATTCTATTTAAAACGTTTACCACAAGTCACAGACGTCGATATAAGGCAAGGAATTAAGAACCACTACAAGAGAAAATATTCTCATCAGGGACGCAACTTTCGGGGTTCCGTTGGCAATTACCAACTTCTTCCTGATTATTCGTTCGTCCATCGATCGCGCGACACCATTAATCTCTTGGCATAATGAGGAAACTAGAAGAAAATTTCTTTAAGACTGTGCCGGACGATGAACTGGTGGGGACGGTGAACGGAAAGAAAAGAGGATTAAACGTCCATTTCCAGCTCAGAATTTTATACACTCAGCCCCATTCGGTTCTCAACTTTCGCAACCCCGATAATCAATTTTATGCCTCCCGTTTCCGTGATACCTATCCATTTCTATCTCGGTGCGCTCTCACGGTTCCTCCCTTTCTTTCATTTTTTAATTTACTGCGTACACCGGGTCAGCGAGTTTATTAAGAGTAATCCATCTTCGAGCGGTCAATCTCGAAGTCGAGCCGCTTTAATCTCTTTCCAGTTCGGACGGTCGACTTTCGCGAAGTTTCAGCGCTCCGGCTCCTCACTATCGCGCCACTCGAGACAAAACGAAGAAACAAACAAACATTGGCGACCGATTCGTCTTCTTTGCGTTAACCCCTTCACTCCGACAGTTGGTTAATGAAGTTAGTCACGTAGATGTGGCAGCAAAGTGTTCTTGTGGAGTAGCTACTGTTACGTGCGTACAAAGGTTTGAACATTTTATATCGTAATGATGAAATTATTGTAAGCAATGAAAATAAGAGAAAATAATGGAAACGTTTTTGATCATTTTAAAGGTCGGTGTGGACAGTATTGAGTTGTGTAAAGCCGAAGATAATAAAAAGTATCTTTTTATTGTTGAAAATTATGATTATGTAGTAATATCGTATTTATATTTATTATTATATTAAATATGTTATGCAATAAGATTATTATTATTACTATTATTATATTATTTAAACATTATTTAATTATATAAACTCGCCGGTTAATTTGATAAATATTAAAGAATTCATCACATTTACCAAACTTAGTGGTGATTATATATAACAACCGGCAATTATACATAATCACCGAATTAATCACATTTACCATAACATATATACAACGTTTCGCGGGATCTATACATTCCCGCAGGACCAAAGGAATTAGTTCGCGATACCGTGGACATTCTTCGTCAGCGACTGAGTAAATTCCACGGAATATTAATTTACACGATAAAATTGTCCGCCGGTTACGTGACTGCCGAGAAAGTGAATTTATCCACGTCATGACTGGAACTTCCTTCCCGAGCGGAAGTTCTTTCGGAGACGAATCAATCTCCATCACTCTGGCAAAACGACGCTGACGATAATTGGCTAACCTGAATTAATTGTTTCTAAACGATCCTCCGGCCGGTATACACTCTTCTGCGTCTAATTATCGGTGTAGAAATGATTAATACACTCCCCAGGGTGCCATTTTCATTATGACGGAAAGAATCCTCACTGTCTTAGTGGCGGAAGTGAGGAAAATTCAAAATTACATTCTGTCGGGGAGCCTTTAATTCTTTCAACGGTTCGCATGTCAAATTAACTTTTTGTAAACGAACACCGTCGTAATGGCTACTTCGAGTTTTAATATCTAAAATCGAAAGGTTAATTATGTGGGAATGAGTGTATTGATGAATGACTGTGCGTGTGCATACAGTTTGAATAAATCTTCAATGTATTGGAATATTCTACACTAAATAGATTTTCTATAATATCGATTTTTGCGTTCATGATAAATGAATAGAACATTCCGAATGTATGTGAAGTTAATGCATAGTGACGAAGAATGTTCTAGAAAGCGTGCGAGTAAGATGATTGTATCCGAATGTATGTAACGTATGTGCGATATGATTTTAGGTCCTTGTTTTATGGCGTGTAATAAAAATATTATTTATGCAAATAAAATTCTCTTTCTCTTACAACTATTCACTTTTTATTATACACTTTTTTATAGAAGTGTTGTTAGAAGCTTAATAAATTCTTGTCTATTTTTGTATAAACATTATCTATTCTTGTTGCATGAAATGTTCTGTAACTTTTCTCTTAACACATTAACCACCTAATCGGCGGTCATCAAATTATTCATATAATTAAAGCAATTTTTCTAAGGAACTCTCAATCTTTTAATCTTCTTACATCTCATAGAACCAACAAAATTTGGTTCGTCTCATATGTCACCGAGAAAATTAATTTTTAAGTCTACACGAAAAGTTATTGTGCATATATGGGTTACATAAGGGTCGATGTGTAAATCAAACTCCCCGAAAGTAGCTTATGTAGATGGAAATTTGCATAAAGATTCGCAGTATACTTATTACGTCCGATGACATAATAGTTTACTAGTTAGAATTATTGGACAGTCATTGTGACTGTTAATATATCTGTCATAAAGTAAACTATAACAAATGATCTCGAGCCAAGCGATTAGCTTTACTTAATGACACTCTTCATCCTCCCTCGGATAATTAAAGGGACGTGAATGCCATTTGAGGAAAGCAAAACGAGTTAATTTCCCTCGATAAGCATCAGAATCCAGCATTGTCTGTTTCGATGACATGGTAAACTGGTACTAACGATCGCAACAGTTCTCAGGAGACCTTTTGTCTTCGCCATGGGTTTACGTTTGCGTTGAGTGTTTCAGCAATCATCGTTCAAAGTCGCATTAGGGGATTGAGGCGGTGAACGATAAGCGAGGACGAGTGTGCTGGCATTGGTTATATCGTGATTCCATCGACACGATGAATATCCTTAGGATAGAAACCTCGCCGCTGCACGTGCTAAGGAATAAGATCTTCCTGACTTCTTCAAAGTAAAGCTCCACTTGTATCCAGCGTGGAAATCTCATTTTCGCGAGTATTTAATTTCTTAAGGAATAGAATACTGATCTAAGAAAGGAAAGATATTTTATAACAATTTTTTTAATCCATTACCGTTCACTTTAAAGGGTGGAAAATATATTTCTTGGAGTATATTTTCCAATACCTTAGGAAGTTAGGGAGTTAGAAGAAATAGCTTTTAACGTTGTCGGTTTTGAAACGAAAATTCGAAGAATGAATAAAGAACTTTAGTTTTAACATGACTTTAATTAATTAATCAACATTGGCGTATCCATTTTGTGAGATTCTTGTGTTCCAAGAATTAGATATTCAATGACCCTTAAAATTACGATTACAAAGCGTGACATATTTAACTTTCTTTCATTCTAATATTCTTTTCTTTTAATCATTCCATTACCTTTTCAATAATATTGTTACAATTGTTAATGAACCTAGATTATATTATTACGAAACGTTATTGAAATGCCCCTTACTTAAGCGTTGCTTTCTTTCACTTTCAAATTTGAATTGTTGTTTAACACGTTGAACGCCATGGAGGCCATCGTTGACTCCCAACTAACTCGATTTACTATAGTCCACTCAATGAAACGATGATTAATTGAAAAGAGATTTATATTATACGTAATGCTACTTGATGCGGTGATATTCAGCTAGCTGAACATGCAATAATAATAATGCAATTCAATTAAATGATTTAATATTACATTTTTTACATTTTGTGTACTATTGGCTATGAAATCGTACGTCATTTAACGTGT